TAGTGTATAAGTAAGCATTGCTACTTTTAAGGCCGGAATTCTTTTTGTGAGGGCATGAGAATTCGGACCCTATATTGTGAATGAGAGAGACGTGAACCAGACATCTTTACCACTATACCACAACCACCGGTGATACTCTTTGTAGGATTTTCAAAGCATTTTTCCTTCTTTTCACCCCTTTCACACGGAGGGTTCCTTCCCTTCATCAGGTGGAGCATAGAGGATTATCTTTACTTTTAATTACTACTTGTGTCAAATTGAGAATTTATAAGCAGGTCCAAATCTTAAGAACTCGTGTGGGGAGCAATACTAGGGTTTTATGGCAGAAAATTAGATCATGAACTTAGACAATTCTAACGTACGATTTGGTTTGTTTTACCCTGTTCCCCATAAGTGCAAAGACAAGTATACATATATATATATATATATATAACATGTGTTAAATGTTAAAAACAAAAAGAAAAAGAGAAAAATTCAAACGTGATGTATGCATGTTCGAACAGCTCCTACATGCCTGTAAAGTGCCTTTGGAGAAAATACTTCAAACTGAAATATAACTTTTTGCTTTATGCCTTACATCGACCACTTGTGATAAATAGAGAGTAGAGAGAGAGAGAGAGAGAGAGAGAGAGAGAGATTATAAAAATGAAATTGTAATTATCATTTTCCTTTTTCCTTGGTCAAGGGTGCCGGTTTTATTCTCAAATATGATATGAGTACACCACACAAATTGCATGCCGACGTTCCATACCCTGGTGATGGGCTGTCCCTTTGTGCTCCCTAAAAAGGAAAGAAAACAGATAATAAGTAATTACAAAACAATAACAATAACAATAATAATGTAATAATAGTATTAATAATATGCCCGAATCTTATTCAACAATTTAAGAATATAATATTTGTCCAAAATATCACCCCTTATTTTATTAGTTAAAAAATATATTATATATCTCTTCAGTTAATTATTAAAATTTATAAATTCAAAAATTATTTATTTTTATAATATGTTCCTATTCATATTGTGCTTTTTTGAAAAAATATATATATGTATATGCTTTCTTCACTGTTTGTTACTTGCTGCTTCCTAATAAATAAAAGCATATTTTTAATTTATTTTTTTGATCTTTTACGTACTTTGACTTCTTTTTTTTTTTTTTTGGCGCTCTGATCATGAGTTTGCAACTTTCGTTTCAGGTAGTAATCTTATAATTAATTGGCAATTACCATATCCATTTGTTGAGGCTAAAAGACAAGGATGACGTGGCTTCAAACAAAGCTCATGGCCACATTGGCACTTGGAAGGTATAAAGTGGGGCCAAGAGACAAGAGCAGACAAAATGGCAAAGTGCTATGAACTTCAAACAAACGTTTAACAATGGGATTTTGGGAGTGCCATAACATAACATCACATAGCAAAACATGACATTACGGATAAGAGATGAGACTGAGAGCAGCCCATGGCCCCCGGCTGCCTAAACTCTTGTCGTTTCACAATCATTACATTTACATCCCCAGTCTTCTTTTTTGCTTTTGTTTTTCATTCCCTCTTATCATTTCTGTTACGCCCACAGCCGCTCTTAGTTAACGTGATCTTGAAAACGATAACACAATAACGCTATTACAAGTGGGATTCATTGTTATTAAGCCAAAAAACAAAAAACAAAAAGGATTATTATCTGCGTGAAAAAGTGAAATCCATATAACTGACTCTAATTAAGTTAGGATTAAAAGTTATTGTTGTTGTATCATTAGTGATCTTTGAACTTTAGACACATTCTCAGTTTACCCTTTAAACTTTAAATTGTTCCTATTTAACATCTTTTGTTATAATTTCTATTAAAAACATATAAAAAAAGAGAATAATGCAGTCACGTGGTCTTTTTGTTTAGAAATCTGTTAAAAATAAATAGATAAAAACTACATGATCATGCTTAACCCTTTCTTTTTCCGTCTGAGACAATTAAAATTTAAAAGATAAAATAAGAGTTTTTAAAATTTAAAAAATAAAGTGTGAATGATCTCAAAATTCAGGAGTAAATTTTGTACTTGATCTAATTAAATTTTTAAAATTTTTGGAGCTTACTACGGTAGGGTTTTACTTATAGTGCATGTCTTTTTTTAAGGTACTATAGTACATGTATGTTTCTGAATAAGTGAATATTGAATCCGATCAAAACGAAATTAAAACCAAAATAAAAATGCAACAGATCGGACGTTCATGAACAACTTTACGAATAGTGTTTTTATTACTCTGAGAATTATCGTTTTAATTTTACATAAAATTCTTAGAATTTCGGCTGTTTCCGATTAGAAGATTGTACTCCACCTAATAATATACGAAATTGATAATTATATATACATTTAATAACAAAATATTTTTTTATAGTTGTCATGGTAGATTTATTTTCTTTTTGACATTTATTGTTAAGACTTTTAGATGTCCTAATTATATGGTACAGAGGGCGGTGGAATTGAAGAAAAGTAAATAAATATAGTCACTGAAAAAATAGACCACGGATAGATTTTTTACTTTTTAATAATTAAATATATTTTAAAATATGTATGTTCTGCGTACTTTTTAATTTAATGTTATTTTAATTACATTTAATAATAAAAAATTAATATTACTAGTAGAACAGACTACTAAAAAAAACTCTCATATTTTTAAGATTAAAACTTTGGATGAAAAGTTAAAATTACTTGCGGACAGAATTTCACTTCACTGTAATAAAAAAAAAAAAAGATTAAAACCCTCAAATATGTGTATGATTCCCAGTATACCCTTATTAAAATTTGAGTGTTAACTCTGCATTGGGTAATGATTAAGCCACACATGTAATCTTCTCACTCCGACTTAATTGATGTAGAATGAAATTGGACCTCATTTCATTTAATAGCCATCAATTTAATTTTTATTTTTATTTTTTTAAGTTACATGGATAGTACTAAGGTCTCGTTTACTTCGCGGATTTGAATTTTCAATTCGAGTTGAGATGTGATATTTTCTGAGAGCTTTTCACTGTAACAGAAAAAGTTAGATGTGACATTTTACGAGAATTTTTTACTGTAAAAATTTAAAACTGAAAACTTAAATCGGTGAAATGAACGAGACATAAATATTTCTCTTTCGATTGAAATTTGACGTGACTTATAAACCACTGAAACAATATTGGACAAGCTTGCACTGTTTTTTATATCAAAAGGCCATATACCTGCTGAGGTATATTTCCAAACTTTGTACTTGTTTCTTTTGTCCCTTTTGCGCTAAGTGACAGAGAATAACTTGGAGATTTCATATGGGAAAGAAAAAACACACCATTAAAATTTCGATCATTCGAAAAATAGTATAGATCATTTCGTGCAAGGCTTGCAAAAACAAGGATTTAATCATGTGAGGAAAAAAGGAAAAAAAAAAAAAAAGAGAGAGAGAGCTTAACGGAATTTAAAGAGAGAGGAAAAAAAAAGGCAAAAGAATTTACAGAAATAGTAGGAAATAGGCCAATATGAAAAGCTTAAAAAAATATATAGGTTAATTTTAATCGTAGAAATTAATAGGCCATAACTTGTCAAGTTATGGTTCATAACCAAATAAGTTATGGACAAACTTGTCAAGTTATGATTCATAAACAGATAAGTTATGGACAAACTTGTCAAGTTATGGTTCATAACCAGATAAGTTATGGACAATAACTTGTCAAGTTATGATTCATAATCAGACAAGTTATGAACGAAAATAGTAATTTAACCTATTTATTAACTTATATAAATTATTGACCTATTAATTTTAATTTATTTCAAATCTCGGTCTATTTCTCCCTTTCTCTCAAGAAGTTGCTTGTATAATTGTCTCTTGAATTGTTGACTTGCTAGCTTGTTTTTAGGCTTGGACAAAGGAGGTTTTGGCTACGTTGAGACAGCTGGGAGCTTTTTAGATTCCTTTAAAAAAAAATCAGAGTTAATGTCATTTATTTTGGTCAAGAAATCAGGAAAACGAAAAAAAAAAACAAAAACAAAAAAACTAAAAGGAATTGAACTGTATATGAAGAAATAGTTAGTACGGGAATAAAAGAAGAAGATTTTTAAAGTAGCTATTGATATGTTTTTATTTTTAACACTAAAATTATATGTTTGCAATTTTTTTTTAATTTAATGTGAATTTGATCAAATTTAATAATTAGAAACATGCACTACCGATAATTAATTGCCGTGTTACAAAGGGCACATAATTTGGTTATATTTTCTCCTAAAAAGCTATAAGCTATGATGGGGGTAAAATTAATTGCCTACGTTAAACGGTTAAAGGACTTCAGAGAAAGGAGTACAAAAGAGCATTACCCTTTACAACAATATTTACCACAAAATTCGTTAGTCATATCTTGATTCAAAAGAAGATAAAGATGACTGTGTAGACTGTAGGATAAGCTGTAGAGATTGTTTGCCATACGTCTTTTAGAACTATTATAACAATATTTTTTAAATGGAAGTACAAATTCCAGATGCATGTGTGGGAGAATTTTTATACTTTAATAAGAGAGTACTTGTTATGAGCCAAAAAAAAAAAATTGAAAAATTTAAACTTCTTGTTAATTTTATAGAATATATGGGGCAAAATATAATAATGGTATACTTTTGTCATTTATTCTTAATGACTGAAGAACTCTGGGTTGGTGGCCTAACATGAGAAACTCAAACACATAGATAGCGAGAGATGCATTTCATGATGTCACATTGCAAGTAGTAATAACTAATCAACCCAATAATTTATTCATTATGACTAACTAATTGAGTTTTGGCAAATTGAACTTCAATTAGATTCAACTTCAAGACATTTTCACACTATCGGTTACCAAGTGGTAAAGGAAAGCGTTGTGCCAAAAGAAAAATTGTAAACGAAAGCATTTTTATTTTTTTTAGGGTGAATTAGAGAAAAATCATTTTTTATAAAGTCGGTATTCAAATTAGGATATCCAATTCCAAGTTATGAATGTATACAAGCCAAATAAGACTAAAAGATTTTCTGAATGCAGTTGAATTCCATATAATACATGCACTTTTTTTCTTTTCCACCCTATAAACTTGCCTAGAATCTGGATCAACAGGATCTATACACAAAAGTAACTTCACTGAACAAGAATAAACCAATTAACCCCTGAATACAAGTCATCCCTTTTTTTTTTTAATTTTTTTATTTATCCTCAAGACTTTCTTCAATAGTTCCAAAGGCAATCCAAGTCGACAGGACCAGCGGAAGACGACGGGTCGTTTTGATCCTCAAACGACCTCTGAGCCATGTCATGGTGAGAAACCATTGAAGAAGAGACATCCGTCTCGTGAGAAAACTCTGTTTTGGCGCTTCTCTTCGTTCCCGTTGCATGGGTTTCAAGCAAAAGGCTTAAAACAGATTGGTCTTGCATCAGAACAGAATCTGCGTAGCTCAAATTCATAAAACTCTGCGGGATTTGGTTGGAGTAAAATGGGAAAGAAGAGGAAGGATTATTGTTATTGTTGTTGTTGAAGCTCGTCTCCGTCATGTCTTTTTCATGGCTTTTCTGGTCCTCCATTGGGTCGGAGAAGCAGGTCACGTGGGAGGACGATGTCATTTTACCGACCGCGGTCCTCATGTCGTTTCTGTTGTTATTGTTGTCGTATGAGGGAGAGTCCATCAATGGAGGCAGCAAAGAAGGACCAAGATCGTTTCCATAAGAGCTCAGCCTAACCAGCCCTGATATGTGCGTTTTCTTCCCTCCACTGCTTTTCTCAAAGATTCTGCAAATCACCCACTCGTTCTAAAAGGAAAAAAAAAAAAAAAAGGTTAAAACCAGGGTATTAATATAAAAACACAGAGGAAAACAGATTTTAGATTTTTTGTTACCTTGGTGGTTTTGGCAAGATTGTAAAGAGAGTATTTGCCTTCCAGTCTGTACTCGTGCATGACCCAGTTGGATTTTTCTCCTCTAGGGGCTCTTCCTTTGTAGAAAACCAAGGTTTTCTTCATCCCAACGAGCGATTTGGCCTTGTAGATTTCCTTGTCTTTGCCTGTGGCTTTCCAGTATCCGGCTTCCGTGGCTCGGTTTGTCCTTAGACCGGTTGGGTATTTTCTGTCTCTCTGGCAGAAGAAGTACCACTCCTTTTCACCCATTTTTGCCCTCCCTTGATGAAATAAAAATCACATAGTTAGATTACCCAAAAAAAGAGGAAAATAGATTAAAAAAAAAACAGAGAATGGAATTAATTCGTATGGTTGAGAAGACATACAAGGCAAATCCCAAGGCTCACACTTGTTCAAATCAACCTCTCCAATAGCTGTAGCTGAGAAACGGTTGTTGAGAACCTTTGGAGAAAGGTAATGGGTTATGAGCTCTTCATCAGTCGGGTGAAACCGAAATCCCGGAGGCAATTCCATATGCTCATCTTCATTGCCAACCCCTAAAGCATTTTCCATTTTTTTTTTCTTCTCTCCTCTCCCTAAAACCGTTTGTTTTTGAAGGCTTTTTCTCTAAAACCGAAATGGGTTTTGAGAAATAGGCTCAAAATTTCACAAACCAACAGAAAATAAGCCAACCCCACAAGCCAAACTCCCCCAGAATCCAAGCTTGAGAAACACAAGAATATAGGAAGGAAAATATAAGATAAAAAAATAGGTGGGGAAAGCTATGGACTGAAAAGGGTTGAAACTGAGAGAGATTTGAGGGTGTTGTTAAGAAAAGAAAAGTGTGTTCTTCGGAACTGAGCCCTTTAAATAGTGGTTTTTGGAGAGAAAAGAAAGAAAGAAGCGTGGCTCATAAGGCAACTTCCGGTGGGTAGTTTCAAGCTTTCAGCTTGTTCTTTTAACCTTTCATTGTAATAATTTCCCTTTCTTCAAAACTTGACCAGAAACAACTCACCTCTATACCCTGCATGTACTTGTGCATTATAACAACTCATGTATAATTAAGGGTATTTAATGGTACTTTATAAAGAAAATATTCTATCCTATCGTATAATTTTTAAGTCGTCACATTTTCGTCATGTTTTCTTAGTTTTATATAGTTTTCTTTAGTTTCGATATAATTTTGATGTAATCCAACGTTTATAAGTGCGCGTTACCGATAGAGAATCTATACCGTAAAAGTTCCTTGTAATTAAGATAAACCTTATACATTCAATCTAGTTGTAAACCGTGGTCATTCATTAGGTAAGGGAAAGAAAAGTAACTCCAGATTCAAAGTCACATTGTTAGTTGTTCTTGTTTAGCTAAAGTCGTCTTTTTTTTTTTTTTTTTTTTTTTTTTTTTTTTTGTACGTATGTGATTTTTTTAAGGAAAAAAAAAATACCACCATATACGATGGTGTTAAACTGCACGTTGTTCTTTCTTCGAATAATAATAACTATTTTTTTTTAAAACTATCATCACTGAGAGCCTGAACGTGAATATAGTCGCAAAATCCCACATCACATCTTTGATGAAGTATCAGCAAAAAGAATTTCCATCAATCTGGCCTAATTGACCCATACCCAACATGTCATCCACTCAATAGGTGAGCTGTTTTTCTCATGAATGAATGAACTTAATAAATATTAGTGAACGAGAAAAAAAAAAAAAAAAAACATTGCACTAATTATGCTAATTAGTCTGCAAAATAATCAAAACTGATTTTTTTTCCTTTTTTTTTTAACGAGTTCTTTTATGAGCAAAGGAGTGAGTTTGTTAAACTAGTAGACAAAATACAACAATATTCCTATATGCATGTGAATTCTTTTCGGACATGTGTTGTTCACACAACGAGGTGTGTATGGCCTTTTGTTGTAATACATTTTCTCGTCATATACAAACAGCAAATCGTTATCCGCAAAGGAATATTGTCTTGACTTTTTGCTCCATTCATCATGCTTGAAATATGCACTTGTGGATTGGATTTAGGGCTGGCAATCCGGGTAACGACACGACTCGAAATTCACACGAAATTAGCGGGTTTGAGTTTGTCATAAATAGGTCCGGGTCAAAATCAGGTTGAACCCGTGAAACGCGATTAAATAATAGGTCATTTTCAAGTTGACCCGCCAACCCGCAATTGACCCGCGATAACACGTTTATTAAACGTGTCATATTTAGGTGATACGATTATACAACCCGTTTATTACCCATTTATTACCTAGGTTAAAAAATGTTTCACTATTATTATTCTCTCTCTTCTCTAATCTCTCGCAGCCGCCCAAGTCCCAACCCCAACATAATTTCCAATTTCAAACCCTTCTTCTCTCAGTCTCTCAACTCTATCAACTCTCTCGGTCTCTCGCAGACTCTCCGCCGCCTGAGCTCTCAGTCCACCGGAGGACCACCGCCTAAGCTCACATTCTCTCTGCCAGACTCTCCGCAGACTCTCCACCGGTTCTCTTCTTCTTCTTTCCTCTCCGCCCCATTCTCTCTGGACTCTCCACTCTCTCCGTCAGATTCGACCTTGGGGACTCTCCACTCTCTTCTCAATCTTCGTCAAAATCAGCCTTAGGGAACATATTCTTTGCTTCGGGAACAGATTTGGTGTTGTTCTTCGACAGGTATTTCCCCTCTCCGCCCCATTTTTTTATTTGTTACAGATTCAGTGTTGTTACAGATTGATGGTCATATTCTATTTGTTACAGCCTTGGGGAACATATTCTTTGTTACAGATTGATGGCCATATTTTCTGATTTGTAATGTATGCTTGTGATCTTAAAAAGACTTGTGATCGTGGAAATGAATGAGAAGGAAAAAAAGATGATGAATGAGGAGGAATTACAGATTCGGATTGTGTTGATTGTGTCCGTTTCTGATGATGAATGTGTCCGTTTCTGATTGTGTTGTTGGCTTTGGATTCGGATTGTGATGATGAATGTGCAATTTCATATCCTTTTTAGAGCTTTGAAAATGCTTAATCGTGTTATTGATTTTGGATTAAATTATTGTACAGTAATCATGTTCTAATATGGTGTACTTTTGTTCAGTTTTTGTTGTTTTTGGGGAGATGTTAATCTGATTGAACCTATACTAATATGTTGTAATTTATTTTTTTGATCCCTTTAGGAGAAATGTTAATCTTATTGAACTTTTACTATATATTTGATTTGAGAATAGACTTTGGTTGTGATGATATTTCCTTGTTGCCTAATCACATTTGTTGTAGTGTTATATTTTTATTCTATTTTTTGTTTCTGGTTTACTCCATGATGTAGTGCAAAATTTTTTTTCATCACCCATCTATTTTCGTGAGTTGGATCCCCCCCGGCCCCTTCCCTTGTTCTGATTGTTGTTGTTTTGGACCCCTCTCCCCTATTGTGCTTGCTGTCATTTTAAGCAGGTTGCCTCTTTCAATCCTTTTGAAGTGAACCTTCTTTTTGCCTCTTTCAATCCTCCAAAAGGTCTTTCATTTTTAGTTTATTTGCTTTCTAGTTATGTTTTTAGGGTGTTTTAATGAATACCCATTTCGCTTTTTCTCTGTTTGATGAATTATAAAGTGTTTGTGGAATTAATATTGGTTTAAAATTTTGGCTGTGAGGTATGTTTTACTGATAAGTTGGAGAATTAGTAAATCAGTTGCTGTTTTGCTTCCGAGTTCCAGGAATGTAATTCTTGATGGAAGTATATGGTATGTGAAATGATCTTGTTAGGGTGTTATAGCTTTTGCTATGTGAAGGTTAATATAGAAATGACTTAATCTATGTTCATAAAAAAAATGACCTTCTTCAGGTTGAAGTGAACCTTGATAACTTAAGCTCATTAGATACTCTGTTCATTACAATTAAACTAATGTTAACTAATGTTTTATTTTGTGCAGATTAATTTAACACAATGGAAATTGATCTTGAATCAATTGAGTCTCAAAGTGTGGATGTTGAGGTTGAAGAGATTGACAGATCGATTTTTAATACACAAACTTAAGGCGTCGAACTCCAGAAAAGAAAAAGGAAGCTGACCTCAAAAGTTTGGAGTCACTTTGTTCATCTTCCTTTGGGCCCGAACAAGAAATTGAAGGCCAAGTGTAAACATTGTAGCTCTGTGTACCTCGCGGACAGCAAGTACGGAACTGATAATCTAAAACGCCATCTTATGAATTGTCTGAAAACCTCCTACCGTGATATAGGGCAGATGCTCATTGCCCCCAGAAGCTGGTGCAGTGACACTTGGTGGAGGTAAGTATGATCCCGAAAAATTTCGTGAGTTGGTTGTAACAGTTATAATCATGCATGATCTACCTTTTAGTTTTGTTGAATATGCGGGAATAAGGTCTGTATTTCAGTACTTGCACCCTCAAATTCAATTGGTCTCTAGAAATATTGCAAAGGCTGACGCTTTAAAGTTTTACAAGAAGGAAAAGCTTCGACTTAAATTGATGTTAGAGACTATCCCAGGTAGAATTAGCTTTACTTATGATGCGTTGACTTCTTTGACTAGTGATGGATATGTTTGTCTCACTGCGCATTTCATAGATAAGAATTGGAACTTGCAGAAAAAAGTGTTAAACTTTAGTTTTATGCCACCCCCACATAGTGGCGTTGCTTTGTCTGAAAAACTTTATGCCTTTTTGAGTGAATGGGGAATTGAAAACAAGGTGTTTAGTGTGACATTGGATAATGCTTCTACGAATGATGTTTCTGTTGACATGTTAAGAGAGCAACTAGTTGTCAAAGGGGTTCTTTTACACAATGGCGATCTATTTCACATGCGATGTTGTGCACACATACTAAATTTAGTTGTGCAAGAGGGTTTGAAGCAGATTGATGATTCAATTGTTAAGATTCGTGATAGTGTGAAATATGTCAAGGGATCCCAAGTGAGGAAGCAAAAGTTCTTAGATTGTGTGAAGTTAGTTGCAATTGGTGATAAGAAAGGGTTGTGTCAAGATGTACCAACTAGGTGGAACTCGACATATCTTATGCTTGAAAGTGCTCTTTACTATCGCCGTGTATTTCAACATTTAGAGTTGAGTGATTCAAACTACAAGCATTGTCCTTCTAGTGCCGAGTGGGACAAAGTTGAAAAGATTAAAACTTTTTTGAAGTTGTTCTATGATGCAACTCTTAAATTTTCTGGAACAAAGTATCCCACTGCCAACTTGTACTTCCCTTCCATTTGGCATTGTTGCTTCATGTTGAAACAATATTTAGAAGGTGATGATGAGTACTTAAAGTATATGACAATAGCAATGTGGGGCAAGTTTCAAAAGTATTGGTCTCAATTCCATCTTACCTTGGCTATAGCATGTGTTCTAGATCCTCGTTTTAAGCTTAGGCTTGTTGAGTTTAGTTACAAAAAGCTTTATGGAGATGATTGTGTTGAATGCATATCAATGAGGAGTACGTTGTACTCTATATTTGAAGAGTACAAAAAAAAAAGGATACAACTACCCAAAAGACCAATGCTTTTGAAACTTGTATGATGAAAAAAGAAGGAAATGATTATGTGGATATTATATTCAAGGTAATTTCTCTATTTATTAGTAATGCGGATGTTCTATGTTTATGTCTGATTGTGTATTCTTATACTATCTCCTTCTCATTTTGTAGGAATTTGATGAGATGTCTTCAGTTGACTCTACTACTGCATCACAGAAATCAGAGCTTGACCTTTATTTGGATGAGCCAAGATTGGCTAGGACCGCGGATCTTGATATCCTTTCCTTTTGAAAATCAAATCAATTTCGATATCCAGCACTAGCTTCTATGGCTTGTGATATATTGGCTGTCTCTATTTCTACAGTTGCTTCTGAAGCTACATTTAGTGTTGGTGGTAGAGTTCTTGATTCATTTCGTAGCTCACTTAAACCAAAGACAGTTGAAGCACTTGTTTGTACCAGAGATTGGTTATATGGAGATACAGGTAGTTTCAAACTTACTTAAATTATGTATATTTTCTATATTGATTTTGAACTAACTTGTATCTAT